GCCAACCCCGACTGTGGCATCCGGGTTTTGGTGCAGCTCTTCCCCCTCCTCCCCGCAATGAAGTGACAAATTGGTCATTTCTCCTGTCCACCTAGTCCGTACAGAGGCGGTTGAGCCCTCGTTTGTTTGTTTTCTTTCCTAATAAGCTCATAAAATAAAGTTTAATTTACAGAGTACGTTGTCCCGTAGATCTGCAAGGGACTGCCAAAATATTATTAACAATCCCTTAAGTATATCACACCTACCACGACAATCCTCTTAGAGGAAGCCACCCAGATGGCTGATAAAGGACGAGGCATCGCTTAAATACACCTAGGATTTGGTCCAGAGGGAAAGCGCATGGCCCAGGGCACGGGGAGAGGCCACAGGACTCCTGGGCTCTGCCCAAGGCTTTGCCACCAGCCTGCAGCCTCCTCCACTGCTCCCAGGACAGCTTCAGCCCAGGATTCCCCGTTGCTGCTGTCACCCCGTGCCCCGCGTGCTGCTCTGAGGTTCCCCAGCCCATCACCATGGTGGGTGCTCATCCACACCCTCTGAAGGTGGGTTTAGAGGTGGCCTGGCCAAAGCCAAGCTCCTCCAGCTTCTGGGAGCCCGGGATCAGTGACCAAGCCCAAGGGTCTTGGACCCTCAGCAGCAGCTTGGTCTGCAATGGGGCAGAGCCCGTGCCTGCTGCAACGTCCCAATGGCTGGGGGTCAGCCATGCCCCATGGAGCTGCAAGACGCAGAGCAATCCCTTTGCTTGGGGAGCAAAACAGCTCCCGGGGCTGTTTCACACTCACGATCACAGCCAGGAGAGCGTGGTTCCTGCCCCAGCAGCTCCATCCATCGCGCACCTTTATGCACAGAATCAGGGGCAGAGCCCGTGCCTGCTGCAACGTCCCAATGGCTGGGGGTCAGCCATGCCCCATGGAGCTGCAAGACGCAGAGCAATCCCTTTGCTTGGGGAGCAAAACAGCTCCCGGGGCTGTTTCACACTCACGATCACAGCCAGGAGAGCGTGGTTCCTGCCCCAGCAGCTCCATCCATCGCGCACCTTTATGCACAGAATCATAGAAACATTAAAGTTAGAGAAGACCTCTGAGATCATCAAGCCCAACCATCACCCCAACACCCCCATGCCTGCTAAACCA